ATCAATTTTGGCCAAAGCCAGCTGTGTCCCGGAAATGTGTTAATTTGCGTGAATAACTCGTTAGTTCATCAGAAATACCAGCCCATTCGTAATGAGCAAAACAATTTTCCATACACAGTCGGACAGCGACTTATTATTAAACTGTGCAAAGTAATTGGAGTCATTAGTGTAAAATGTATATGAGACCTTATCCGTAGCTACTCGAATTTGAGATCTGTGTTCAAGGTAAGGAGCAGCTTGACTGAGTCTGTCGGTAAAGATACAGAGCAAACGGAAGCTGCCAAGTCACTTATCATCCAAAGATCCATTGCGTCTATTTTTAACCCCAGGGCGGAAACGTTCTCACGCAAGCAAAGCTCATATACCAAGTGGTTTGGCCTAAAAGGAGTGGCTAATGAGGGTTATCTAGCACAGCATAGTCGAGATATATACTATTAATTCTGATTGATGGGTGACTGCAGCTGAGGGCTGAAATAGACAAACAAGACTATAGCGATACAATATTTAAAAATGTTTACATATAAATTTGTCCCGGAGTGCTATTCCCGTTGTCATCCAACTGTTACACTTCCTCCAGCTTCTGGATGAAAGTAAGTAATATCCCCATTTTGGCGGCATTTGTGCGACATCAATGAATAAACATCTCACTCATGGAAGCTGACGAGATTGTCGAAAGTCCAATGAGCCTAGTTTGCACCTACCTCCTGAGTTTGCCACTCCGTTCCATCGGGCAGGTGGATTCACTAGAAAGGACCGTCGTATAATAGCAACACTTTGAACCCTTTCGCCTTTTAGGTTCCCAGTAAGAAACCTTGCTGAAGTTGAATAGTTTGACTTTTGCTGAAATTCTTTAATTTATACATCGTTATCACCTTAACACACAACGTATGAAAAAGCAGAACTTCCTGACAATATCATGATACTCCGATGTTTTCAGTTTATGATCAACGGAGTGCAAATGAATTGATTCTAAATAAGTATCTTCAAGCATCTGAGCAAAAAGCTTGTGTGGCTAGCAAGCATATGTTTGACGGGTACAAATCTGGAGCACCATCATATATCCCCATTACAGCTGTCTCTTCCAGTCCCGTAGTAATCTTCTTTCTCGAAGTGACACATGGAACAGACTTAATTGAAGTTATATGAGTATGTCGGCGGTTGACTCGGTTATGGCAGAATAGACATTTACGGGTAGCATCGATTTGTGAGTCTAAAGTATCTAGTTCACCAAAAACCTCTTATAAATTTGACTGAGTATCTAGCATTGCACGCAGCAGTTGACTGTAGATAAGTAGGTCGGTCATCAGATTAGTGATGCATGTTTTGAAACACACAGCAATATTCTTGTCTTAGCTGCGTTCCAGGTAGTTTGACTACCGTCTTATAAATTTAGGTTGTCGAATCGCTCTTTCAGAGAAATCTCCTAATGAACACAGACAAAACGTATCCTCTGCTTTATCTTTGCATCCGGAGTTGATGTAAACTCAGCGTAGTTCGCCTGTCTTGCAATTAGGCAGTCGAAAGCCGGCATCTTTTGTAATGCAGTCAACCTCAAAGTTTACAAATTCCTGGGACATTTTCAAAGAACCATTGTGCCTATATTTCAATCGATCAATTCCTCGAACCTACCAGCGGGTTCTGTTGATGTGTATCACATGGTGTAACGGAACATCTTCAACAAGCATTGGACAAGCCCACCTTTAATTAAGCTTCAACGCGTGTAATTTGTAAATACTGTGCCCAACTTTGCTTTAATGCCTCAGGCAATGTAACATAGTGAAAACACTGCTTACTGTGCTTATAAAAGAAGCATATCGCTTTTTGAAGTGTTCCTCTCCTGAATGGACGCTTGATTCTCAATCAAACCCGAAGTCGCTGGCCCCCCACAGGACAGAGAGAAGACCGGATCGGACGAGCAGAGCAACAGGGATGTATTAGCGAATCACACCGTTCATTATAAAGGTGAAATGGAAAGTTCGTGAATGGTGTTTAAAGCGAACGTGGGAAGCTCTGGAAAGGTCAACTTACAACCAATAAAGGAACGCCGCCCTCGCGTTAATTGGCCGCTTTTCCCAGTTGGCTCTCTGTTCACCCTAATCAGGGCAGATGAGTTTGGATCGCCTGCCGCGGCGATAGTGTCCTGGCTTGTTCGCACCACGTATTCCTTCCTAATACTTCTAATCGATACGTATTTATTATAAGGCCAACATATGGTAAAAATATTGTGTACCGATCACTGGACTAGTGTTAGTGAAAAACTAAAAGGTAGAAGTTAAAGCTAAATAGGTGGGCGTCTTGTGCGCACTCAGTTCTTTGAACATCCCTATGTAACCGAGACCCCAAATACGATGAGTAGCTGTATGGAACAAAGATACAGCGGAGCTTCAGACTCATATCACTTTACACAGTGAAAGGTATACAAATATTAAATTTTAGCATTATGCCAGTACTTTGATATTCATAATTTGGAACATGTGTCATTAGTCCTTTAGATCGTTGGGTGAGCTTCAACCACGTATAAAGATCTTGCAGATATTCATTTGCAATTATCTGTGCAAACATCAGCTTCAACCTGTTCTTTATTTTTGACACATCTTGAAGCCATCTAAAGAGTGAGTTCACCCATTAGATAAATACTATAATTCCACTTAGCTTAAAATAGGTATACTGTGCCAAGCGAAATGTGGATGTGTATTAACAGGACATTAGTATGCTGGGCGTAATTTCAGCTTGGGAGTAAATTCCTATACTTGCATGTCCTTAACAATGATAAAACTGATGTCTAATCAGATTCAACTTTCCGGATTTGGACTGGGAGGCGCACCACTGACGAGACCCAGAAGGTCGAAACACCGGTGTCTCGTGCTTCTCCAAACTAGCTTAAGCCTGCTGATTGTGCGTGGACAGTGATGAACTCGTTGAATTATTGCTTACATCGGTGATGCAGTCCCACGAAGTTATGCAAAACCAGTACTCCAACCTTTCGTATGTAGTTGCGAAACATTTCCACGTGCAACACTGCGTCTCAAGAATAAATATGCTGCAGGGAAATCAAGATCCCCTGTTATGGTGCTATTGCTTTCTGTTAGCAAGTAAGCCCTCGATTGTAGCGGCCCGAACCCCGAAGCATAAACAAATTAATCGTGCCTGCTGCTAAGCGTAAGACCCTAAGTTTTCCAGATTTATAACAAGTTAGCAATGTAATTCAACTCTCAAGCCACCTAAGATGTTGAACATGGGAGGAAACCTATCCCAAAAGTTTTCAGGCAGCAGCCTCTTCAAGAAACTTTAATGTGTCAGGAAAGGAATGTGCAAAATGTGTCGTCTACACACGCAAGAGAATGATCACAGGCGATTTGTCAGTAGTATGGGCGCAACTGCTCTCGCAAATGAGAAAGAAGACGTTTTAATACTGCAGGCGTGTTTAAGGTAAAGGGCAAGCGAAGGAATCGAGGTAACCAGCGTAGTTAACTTTAGATAAATGAAACTGCTTCGGAACAATGACACGAGGAAAAAGTTGCATGCTCAATGACATGATAAACTTATTCTGTTAGATTTCGCTGCTCACTGACTACAAATCACTGTCACGATGTTTCGGAAAATCGGTTGTCCAATGTCAGCATTGAGAATAATAAACAATTTTAGATGCTAATGCGCCGTCTGCTTTTAGTCAAGGCAAAGTCTCGTTCAGGTAGTGGGATACGGTTCCAGCAGCCTTGCTAGTAACACCTAACTAATTGATAACAATATAGCATCATCAAGACGAAGTTTTGAAAAGAAGGGCATCCACCAATATAGACTAATTCCTAGTACTTCATCGCAAATTGCCAAATATGTCATAATTCCATGCGGCGTATATGCGCACCGTAAAAATGGCAAAATGATTCAAATATTTCTCGCTAGGTTTGCTTACTATTCACAAATGAACGTTTTATTAAACTCCCTATTACTCTTTAGGCACATTAGCAAAACACAACTTAGTCATTTGCTCACCATTTGTACTGTACGGCTATTAAGGTAGAATACAATGTCGGTTTTCAGACAAACCGATTGGCGAAACAACGAAAGCTAAGCTCAATACAAATAAATTTTGTGCCTCATTTGTATTCTTCTCGTTATCTGAGAGGATAATTTCTAAAACTTTTTTCCCACCCCTCCGACTTACAGTTGTAACAGAAACTGCAAGGTAATACTAATTAGATGTAGGAACGGTTGCACATTAGTTCCGTAATATCATTATACACCATGTTAAGTATAGGATGAAGCAAATACTTACAGGTCTTTCTTAAGAAGGCATCCAAACTAGTCGTTACTTGTAAACTGAGCACAAGCTATTTAGTTGAGATTGAGTCGATAGCCAAAAGAATGTGCCGATATTCTTGAGGTTAAAATAAAACATGTAATGGGTTAATGCACTTGCGAAAGCAAGCGGAAACACGTCAGGATAGGTCAAAGTCATCTCCTAACTTTCCTCCTTTGTAACTACTAAAAATGTGCGTAAACAGATGGAACAATAACTAGAAATCTATCCGTCAATGTCATGACACACAAAGGAACACCTGGACTATTCCCACTGTGATCGAACCTCCTGAGGTGACATCCCGAACTGTTCCTGTAATGACTCATGGCTCAAGACTCGGGTAAAGCGGTTGTCGCCCCTGTTCGCTATAAAATCCCACACCAATTGCACACTGATTCACCTGGTCTGATGAAGCCTCTATGTTAGAGGCGAAACGTTACCAAATTACTATACAAAACCGATTGTTTTCAAACCTCTCTGAACTCATGACTACTCGATCGTTTCCAAGTATCTTCCAAGAATTTGAAACTAGAAATCTCTTCTCATGTCAATTTCAATTCTCGCGAGGACTAAACCTTCAGAAAAACAGCACATTAAAAACAATACTTTTACTTGCAAAAGTTCTATTCGGTCTTTATTTTCATTATCCATAGTGCTGAATTTATCCGTCACGGAAACAAAGAGCCATTTGTGGATCAAGATGAGGACCATACTGCGACAGCTTTATGCAGATGTTGACTCGTTTGACTATTTTGTCAAAGCGGACGATGACACTTATATGATCGTCGAGAACTTGCGACACGAGCTATCTCACCACTCACCCAAGGATCCATTCATGACGGGCTATCGGTGGCCGGTGGGTCTTATATGTCTGCATATTTCAATCCAATATTAATCAGCGAAACAAACCGAAACTAATAGTTGTTTTATTCCCCATCGTTAGTGCTACGAAAAGGTCTGATCGTGGATTAACACCTTGCCACCAAAGGACCATACGTCATTGGTTGCAGCGAAATATGATGACTACAAAGGGCGAGCTACTTTTATAACTAACCGAAATAGTGATAGCCTGAGAAAAAAATGCCTTCGTTTGTGTTAAATGCTTACTCCCTCTCCATACTTGCGTACTTTTTGGAACCTTTCAGCGTAACAACGACAACATGTATAGTTCAAGTACACCAGTCTCTCAAAAACGCGACGCAGATAATATTCTGGCTTACAATTGTAAACAACATAGGTTTATCAGCTGCAGTGTTGCTTCTTCAAAACATTTTGTATATCATCCTTTAACCCCTTCTCTAAGCAAGTTTCTTTGTCAGATATCCAGTGGATACTAAGTACAGAGGAACCTACTTTCAGCTTGATATAGATGGCGATGGTACAAAAGTCTATGATGGGAACTGCGCGATGGTGTAAAACTCGAGAATTGATACGAAAGCTTAGGGGATAAATACCGAAACATCCTCAGAAATTTTGGGGATGTACCTGATACAGCGCTTGAGTGCCGCTCTAGTAGTATGTCAAAACATCAGCACATTGATCAGACTTTGCAGAAACACGTTTTCCGCGTTACGGTAGCTTCATACTAAACACAACTGACACCAGCGCACCGCTAATCTGGACAATGAACTTAATAAGCGTACTTTTTTGACAGTTTTGGACTTCTTGAGATTGCATCACTTCAAAGATAACAGTGCAGTTTATGCCGAAAGCATAATTAATATTTTTATTCATAGCTTTTAATAGCCGGCGGATACTTCTCTGGTGGTGCGGGATATGTGCTGTCACGTGAAGCTCTCAGGCTCATCGTTGAAAAAGCCATTGATAGGCATCCTAACTGTCCGACAGCTGATGAGAGTATGGAGGATGTAAAGATGAGTGAGTCTAAGTTTTATTTAACGCCGACTATATTGACATACACTGTTTAATCTCTGACTGTTCGTTCCATCTTGTGGTTTCTCGAAGTCGTGCAACCACGTTTCCAGCATATTTATTTCAAAGAAATTATCTGCAACTTTACAATGGAGTATTAATTGTGGGTTGCATTCCACATCTGAATATCTCATGATGAAATTATGTTCAAATTGCTCAGCGAACCGCTGCGAACCATGGCAGCAAAATGCACCCCGGACCGTTGTACTGTCTTTGTCGAGAGAGTGTATTTACGTCGAAGTAACCTGCAATCGCTATGCTCAACATCGGCTTTCTTATTGATTAATGCAGGGATATAATATGTCACGAAGCTAAAAATGTATATCCGATGACATTTGCTTGTTAATCTTTTAATAGAAGCTTCCATAAGTGTCCACGTTAAAATCATACGGCTTAGGGCCGTGTACTTTTTACCAAACAAGATTCAAGAACGCTTCTTTCTAGCAGATTTTACCTACTGATTGCTTCATCCGAATAGCTGAATTGCTTAGCATGGTTTTAACACATCATTTTCACTTACACGACTTCGTTATTTTGACTGAGCCCTAACATATATTATTTTAATCATATAGAATATCCACAGTAGAGAATCAGAGAATCTGGGCAGAATTTGTCTGATGCGAACCTGTACTGAAAATTACCGCAAATTTTGCGAATACATGCCACAACTCTTAAGCATTGTTCTACCAGGTGTACACTTAGTGGGCTCTGTTGGTCTGCATTTTCTTGTAGGCATATATGCCGTACACTTCCAGATGGTAGTGAACGGGTGTGAAACTGGAGTTATCGTGGCGCTGTTCACCGGTGGGAATTTTACCGCTTTAGACATCATCTCTTCCCAGTAGTCAGACCTTCTCTCGGACGCGCAAAAATCCACTTTAACTTAGAACGGTAGATACGCATCTGTTACAATGGAAGAAGAGTATAGAATTTAGTCTAATTGTCCGGGAGTTTCCTCTCCTCCATTTGGTTAACCACCATTGTATAATGCGCACTCATTGCATGCGTGCACGGCAGTCCAAATCAGTAAGAACCATTGGAGACAATGGGATAACAAGTATTCAGGAAGGGACCAAATTTCCCCACTGTGTCTAGTAGAAATGAACCGCTGTGTGTTAAATTCACGAATATGTTATTTCTAATCAACGGCAAACCAGTAGCAATCACGTTGATTTCGCCATCATGAACATTCTCTTATTTAGTCCTTTAGTGTGCTTGCTGGATAGTACTTCTATGGTTGGATCAATTTCAGGTTGTTCAAACGATGACACGACAGAGATGTTCAGAATGAGCCTCTGACCAGCAACTATAGTGATGCACATTGAGCGAACACAGACCACGGTAGCAACCGTGCTAGTCGACATAAACATTCCATCTTAAGCTGAAGCAAAAGATTGAGGAAGTTATCAAATTTAAGTCCCTAACTCTTGGCCTCATGTGTTGTTCGGCCTTTGAGACATTTCAGGCCTACAAACGTCTACCCCAGGGATGTCCAAAGTCCGGCCCGCAAGCCAACTGCGGCCCGCGTTAACATTTCAACTGGCCCGCAGCCTCAGCATGAAATAATAAATTCAATCTTGGATACTTTTAGTACATATGTGATATTTGTGCTTATTTGAATGTGAGGCTGAATATGGCTCGACATATATTTACCTCAAAAAATGTGACCGACCTTGCAAAAGTTTTGACACCCCTGGCCTATACTTTAGTCAGCCTCGCCGCTGCCTTACCTCTTCTGAGAGAACTAAGGTAGTCTTAAATGTTTAAACGGATCACAGCACTGGGTTATGATAGTCGCTGATGCTCAAATGTTCATGTCTATGTACAACTTAAGGTATGATTTGAAATGCCGGAGATTGATTGAGCTTTGGGCTTTCTTTGTTATCGAAATACCTCAGTACTTCAACTTGGTTCCTCAAAGCTCGGTGTCCTTAAAATGTTCGGTAAACTGCACTTCTCTAAAATTCACCTTCCATAGCAGCGGAGGACTGCCTTAGTGTAAGGACTCCGCAACTTTGTACTTTCGAAGGAAAATGGCCCAAGCCAGGACGAATGGAATTGCCAGAAGCAGTGGAAACGAATTAAACACATGTTGTTGTTTCCAAGAATACAAAATGTCATGTTGCAGGCTAGGAAAGACTAGAAATTTGTTTAGTTCTCGACTGCGCGAGACACGGACTAGTATGTTGGTCCGATTGAATTGTACGAGTGTTTCACGAATTTGTTGAGGATATAGATAAATGTAACAATTACCGGTCAGTCAGACCGTTTAGAAGTACAAGGTCAATCACATTTTGATTGGTAGTTCGCGAAGTATCACAATGTAGCATTTTATAGTCAAATGCTTACATATACACGGAACACGGTGTAGGCTATCATAGCACAATAGACGGAAGCGGCTTGAGCTTGATTGTTTCGTCATGCAGCAGAACGCAATCAATACGCCAAGCAGGCAGGCGTATGGGACTACTTCTCTGCAATATTTGGACGAGTCTCCGAGGAAGGGACATATCGGAAAGATATAACGGCGGACAAGTTAATCGGTTTGCAGGCAGATAATACTGTTGTAGTTAAGTCAGTTTTGGCAAATTGAAGATATTGTGAAGAAAATATGGTACAGGTTACTAATAATATGATCAACAGCGGAGAGTAAACATAGGAAAGGGAGGCATGCGTGTCAGTTACTAATTTAACGTTCCAGATAGCCATTCATTAGAATGGCCCGCCAATATTTCGGGATCTAGCGGAGGCGGTACTCAAACACTAATTACCGGGTACATCTTTCATTAATGGAACCTTGATACGTGCGCATGTGTGTCTGGGACAGAGTTAGCAGTAGAAACCATCGCGCTTTGCAAGATGATTGAAAAGGAATAGTGCAATAGTCGTCGGGTAGAAGACGATCAGTAATCGCGTGACCTTCTTCATAGCCATCTATGTGTTCATAGAGGCCTCGAGATATGTATGGCCGGTAAAAGAGGGGATATAACAGGAGTGCAAGGAATGAAAACGAAGACTCGGTTTACCTTCCATCGTCAACTTTCATGTAGGCATGAAAGCCTCGAAGTCGGCGTGGCCGAGTAAGGAAGTAATATAACATTGGTCGGATGAATGAAAAAAAGCGCTTGGTTTAACACCTTACTTTAGCCACCATATTGTCATGCAGGTCTTGCTGTTCGCATAACCGGGCAAGGAGAGAAGGTGATAAATTTTGGAAGTGTGGGCATGAAAATTTGGTCTTTTTTCCTTCCTTTTGCATTCTGTGATGTCAATGAAGCTTTAAAGTGTACCACCGGGAGGTATCACCGACATGCATTATATACCCTTCGGTCCCTTCTGATAAATCTGTCTCAGCGATATTCAGCTTGAAAAGTTGCATAGCTTTTGGGACTGTGATAAATTTATCTAGCTGTATAGGAAGCATGTGAGGAGATGTGCATGACCTAATGAATAGTGGGAGAGGATTCCAAATCAATGCATATCTAACGAGGAAACGTTTGCCCGCATGTTAATGCGTGACTTTGCAATCGCAAGTTGTAAGTTCTATTAGAGATAAGGTAAAGTTTGTTGTGTTGTAGTTGGGGAGAGCATCCATGTGTATTAATACGCCCCTGCATTGCATCCAAAATCAGCAATATGTTTGGCTTTATTCTATGTAGCCATATTGGTTCCAACATCAATAATTTACATCGTTCAGAGGATGTTAACCTCTAAGTACAGCCCAAGATCTGTCTTGTAAAAGCATGTTGAATCCGCTCTAGTTCCGCTGTGTAAGTCTTGCATTACCGAATACCATACAGCAGTACTCTAACATTGGACGTGTGCAAATCTTGTACAATATAAGTTTAGTAGTTGATAAAGTAAAGAGTTTGAGAAACAGTGCATTCTATCTCTTGACTTTAGCAACAATGTATTGTGCATGTTCGGAGAAGTTAAGGCTGATGGAGTAGTGAAGCCCGAAGTCCCTTACTTGGTTACCATATGCTAGGGGTTTAAGGAAGGAGGTTAGTAGTTGGACATTCATATCATATTTGTATGAGATGGCAGTACTCTTTTCGAGGGAGAAATTCATTTTTGAAGTGCAACACCATACTTCAATTGAATTCATGCTAGTTTGTATCTTTCGAAACACGGACTCTTGATTCCTGAGATCAAATGTGTACACAACTCTTGTATCGTCCGAAAACAGACAATAATATCAAAAATGGGATTTATATACATCAGGAAGAGAAATGGTCCCAGAACGCTGAGTTGAATGACGCCACTTGTCACAGGGGTGCGGCCTGTCGTGTGATTACCTATATTGACTGCTTAAGTTCTGTCGGGTAAAGTATAAGGGGAACCAAGAAACTAGAGCGTCAGCAATACCATACCCTGCTAGAGCGGTCAAAAATCTACCATGGGGCACTTGGTCAAAGGCATTTTGCTTGGCAAAGAATATGACAGTATAAGCGATACCACTGTCGACTGAGCTTGTGATGTGGTTTAAGAAGTCTATTTGGTAAGAGTGACAAGAACACTGATTACTAAACCATGTTGTAATTGGCTGATTAGGTTCCTTGATCTTAGAAATTAGGAAGTCGTAGCCTTTATAATCCTCTCCATATTTGTAAGAAGTACGGAAGTATGGCCAATCGGGAGGTACTTTGCAACATCCCATTTTGAACCTTTTTTATATCTTGGCACATCAGCGTGTTTCCAATAATGCGGAACTGTATTGGCCATTACTGAAAGGTAAATATGTTCTGCAAAAAATAGGGATATCCTTACCTCCGTATTTCAGTGAAGCTGAGGGAATGCCGTTAGGATCACCGTTAAAAGACGGTTTCATCGACCTAGGCGATTTCCTTATTTCTGTTATAGGAAAGTCTACTGTCCACAGTGTGTGTTTTGACGATATGGTGTGTTTGTCATTTGTATGGCAGTTGAATGACGAACGAAAATGCTCGTTGAAAAGATTTCTAGTGACCACAGCATCATCTCTTGACGGGGAGTT